TCATGGAAAATGAGGAAAAATAGGGTGCTATGGAATCCTGTTGTCAGAGGGAAAAAATGTTAGGGGGAAAGTTGTGAAAATCAAGGCCATGGAAGGGTTATTTTTGATGGACCGCAGGTTGCTTTTGATGTAATTACAGATATACTGATAACTTCACAGGTTATCCTCGTCAGTCCTTAGAAGTTTCTGTGGTAGTCTTCCAGGTCATAATACCAAACAATTTTTCTCCGCAAAATGACTTTAAATGTCATGGAAATTGTCATAGTTCAGTTCTAGAAGAGTAATCCAGTTTAGTTTCTGAGTTTACCGTCTGAACTCTGTTGTGCTTCGGTAGCAACAGTAAGTGTTTGAAAGTGACTATGTAAAGCAGCAATTGCATTGGGGCTCTGCCCATTTAAGTCACTATAGCTTAACAGGGAATACGTCACGTGCATGTGTAAAAGGCATTAGTACAAGAACCGGCATGTGAACCAACGCGCACACTTTGCTCATTTGTTTGCACTGCACTTCCTGGTTCAAAATGATGTCACACTTCGGTACTCTGTTGTAATCTTGCTAATTACCAAAAGGAAACTGCCGCAAATTGAGCCAGTTTGGGTTTGTCGATGAGGCAAGGTCATTTGCAATCAAAGAACTGTAAGCTACATGTAGCTCCCTATGGACAACAGGAAGTAAGTATTCTCATTATTGGTGAATGGAAAATGAAGACAAAGATCAGAAAAGAAAATCATCGCATAACTTGTTATTAACGAAGGCCATCTTGTAAGTTTGTACGGTTCCAACACAAGTGCAGGGTTATCCGGTCAGCACCTTTTGCCTGGATTCCAGGGCCAACTGGCTTATCAAGCTTAAAAATAAACAATGATTTGCTGATACTTGTGGATGGTCTTACCTGGAACAATTGACCAATTTATTGTTCATTGGTTGGTTGCCTAATTTGACCCCAGGCCCAAGAGCCTTCAGAAACTCCCTTTTGCTATCTACACTGCAGGGAGAGAGAAAAGTCGGACCTCCAAGACCAGCTGCAGGCTTCCCGCGACCAACTGCTGGCCCTCCAGCAGCAGCTGGCCAGCAGGAGAGACGCCTCCCTCAAGAATGCCACCCAGGAGCTGGACCAGCTGCAGCGGGCCCACCAGCAGCTGACAGACAGGCTGAGGGAGCAGACGGGGACCAACGCCGAGCTGCGCGCCAAGGCGGCCGGCCTGGAGGAGACGTGCAACCGGCAGCGGGACCGGATCCGCAGCCTGAAGGCGCAGCTGGAAAGCTGTAGCCAGCTGAGGAAGACGAATGCCGAGATGACAGTGAAGGTGTGGTATTGTGGTGAACAGTGAAATCACTTTCACAGGAGTTTCAAATTTATTGCACATTGGTTTGGCTAAATACTTCATAAAATCTGGGAGCTACGGGATAGCACAAGAAGTCTTTAATACATTAGTCAGTTCAGTGACTATTACATTTGTAAAATTGGGATAGCATAATAGAGTACCAAAGTGTGACGTCACTGTGAACCAGAAAGTGCAGTGCAAACGAATGGAGTACGCACACGTGTTGGTTCACGCGCTGGTTCTCGCGCTAATGCCTTTTACACAGTAATTGTGCGCGTGACGTATTCACTTCGGTACTCTATACAATAGTGAGCTTGTTGAAATGATGACCATTTGCCTACCACTTTTTGGTTTTACCTGGTACCAACAGATCCAGGATATATTTTGAGCATTTGTTACCAGGGAAAATAAAAGTTGTTCCTGGTTTTGGTCATTGTGGTTTGTTTGTTACTTGGGCAAAAGAGAAAGAAATGCATTAAGAGATTTGCGTCAGTAAATCAAGCTGTACTCTGGAAAGTTTGAGACAAAACTAGTGAGCTTTTTTAATTGTACTTCAGGTGTACAATAAATTTTTTGATATTTTGGAGTTTGGGGCAGGACTGTAAGCATTTTGCGAAGTATGGTGAGAATTACAAGTACAAATTTGAGGCATTAAGACAAGTATTACATTTGGAAGTTGTGGGTAGGAAAAGTATGAGGGACCTGTAACAGGCTGGGTGGTTTTTGAGCATTACTGTGACTACCGGTATTTTGCACTTTTTATGGATGGCATAATGGTTTCCCTGCAGATCAAAGACATCAGCCAGCAGTTATCAGAGATGGAAGCTGCCAAGAGAGACTACACCCGCAAGAACAGCGAGCAAGCCAAGACCATCGCCAACTTTGTCCAGCAGGTGGCTGGATTGCAGGCTGACCTACAGGCTCTGTCCAAGGCTCAGGACAGCTTGTCAAGCAGCACCAGGTGGGAAGCTGGCGACGAGTTCATTTCTAACTTTATCACATGCACACTCACTATATATATAACTCAGATTTTGCACTGGTTACCTGTGCGTTGTTTTTGTTGAGTCTTTTCTTTTGTTGTGTATTTCGTAATGGTTTCTGGGATTGTTTTGTTTTTCTCTGTGTGCTGTATTGTACATGTACATTGCATGCCTTTGTACAGGCCATTTTTTAAGTTTTGCCATGTCTTTTTTAACTGATCATCTGAGCCGCAGGTGAGGGCATTATCAGCATTCAGTCTCCTGAATGTACCTTTTTTAGTCAGGGAGTCAAAAGGAGTCATGATGGATTTCCCACGATTTTGTTGTAGAATTTTGCTATCATTTTCCCAAAACAGCCCCCTCCCTTATATGGTGTATTCCTTGCGCAAGTTGTCCAAAAGAATCTTGTTATTTGGACTTTGTGAGCCGCATGCACGTATACTCATGACCAATTAGAATTGATTAAACTGTCTCATATACAGACACCAGCGTGTGATTTACGCCGCAGGCATTATCACTTCTCAGCGGGCATTATCAAATGTTTATACACGGTCAAGTTGCACATTGTTGAATAGGGAGACTGTCTGAGGTATTTATGAATTCAGGATATGACAGAGTATTGTGATGTAATTTTGAACATCCACCATTGAAGATCATATTCTGATAATGACCCTGTCTTAACCA